AAAAAATTGAATGAATGAATGAATGAATGAATGAATAAATAAATAAATAAATATTGTCATGCTGGTCTTCCAGTTAAGATTTTTTTTACTGATATTCACCCTAAATCTGGCTTCCTGTAACTTGAGCCCATGATTCTGTGTCCTGCACTCTGGGATGATAGAGAACAGATCCTGCCCTTCCTCTGTACGTATCTGAAAAGTGCTAGCCTATCTCCCATTAGTCTTCTTTTCTCAAGCTAAGTGTGTCCAGTTCTTCTGTTCATCATACCCTAAGATTTAGATGTGGAATCTTCTTTCCATGCCGGAGTGTGTTCATCTCACCGTCGATGACTCCAGCCAAGCCGGACGTGAAATATGAAGCACGGAGAGACTGGCTTCTGGGCAGGATTCCAACCCAACACCTCTGGTTTTAGAAACAACACATTTGTGCAGATATTTTTGTCTCAGGATGAGAGAATTGAAAAGGTGCGCTTGAGGAGTAGTTCCTAGAATCCCCCCCAGCTAACAATGGCCTCATGCTGACTGGGGGATTCTGGGAGAGACAGTCCAAACGAGGATCACGGCCCAAGCCCTGCTCAGGATTGTGGCTTGTTTCCGATATGTGCTTGGTCTTCCTTGTGGGTTGTTCCTCACAGAAGTGTATGAACCCAGGCGGGCCTGGACCAAGAGGAGGGATAAATGGGGGTCTAAGGATATAGGACAGTGGTTCTTAACCTTGGGTTACTCAGGTGTTTTTGGACTGCAACTCCCAGAAGCCTTCACCACCAGCTGTGCTGGCTGGGGTTTCTGGGAGTTGCAGTTCAAAAACACCTGAGTAACCCAAGGTTAAGAACCACTGATACAGGAGGTGGAAACTTTGGCCTTGTAGTTGGCGTTTTGTTTTTAACCTTGTATGCTGTCTGTCGTTTGTGTGAATTGGGAGTGACATTTCTGGGCTTGGGTGACTGATTATGTATCTATATTGTTCCTTCCAGCCTTTGACTTCAAATAGGGCCACACAACAGAAGTAAAATAGGATTCCAGATTCCAGTCTTATAAGAACAACCATTTTTGAGTATCGCTACTACAGTGGCATTTGTGCTGGTTCTGAACCGATGGTTCTCAACCTTGGGTAACCCAGGTGTTCTTGAACTGCAACTCCCAGAAGCCCCAGGCAGCACAGCTGTTGGTGAAGGGCTTCTGGGAATTGCAGTCCAAGAAGAACTGGGTTAGTCCAGGGTTAGGGAAACACTGTTCTGAGCAACCATGGCAGGATTTGAACCTTGTTGAGCTGGTTAAATGAGGGAGCGCTACGTTGTTCCGTGTGACTACACGACAATACCTTTGTTTCTTTCTTGTATTGATTATTGGACAATAAAGAAGTTGTGTGGGGAAGGTGCATCTCTCTTAATCATGGCTTTGAAGTCGTGCCGGGCAGGCATCAAAAGTCCAAGCTGTGAGAGTTAAGATTTTTCTTTTGGTGTCCATGAGACGAAAAAGAGAGGACAGCAGGCATTGATCTGCTGCCGCCTGGGCCAAACTTGCGTGTTGTTTTCAACTGTGACTTGCATTATGGGACACATTATATGGATCAGTTTTTTTTTAAATAGTTTTATTCAATTTGTTAATTTAAATTCAACTGTTTCTTAGAGCTAGAAAAGAAAAGAACATTTAAATGGAGGTTTCACAGAGATGGTATGTTGTTCTGGTTGTTGAAGTGAGTTTATTTGGAACTGTTACTAGCTAAAATCTAATTTTTCAGATCAGTGGTGCTGTGTATATTGATGCTTCTTTAGTTAACTCGCTTCAAATTTGTTTGCTTCAAATGTTCTTTGCCCCGGTGGTTTCACGTCTGTTAGCTGGTCTCTCTTCTTCTGCGCTTCGTCCTCTCATCTTGGTGCAGAGTGTAGTTCTAAACCTGCCGCGCTACTCTCACATTTCCCAGCACTGCAGGGCATTACACAGGTTACCCATCAGATCAAGAACATATTGTAAGGTACTTGTTCTGACATTTAAAGCATTACGCTTCTCTTCCCTGAGCTGTTTAGCGGATATTGTGGGGTGGCCTATTCCTCGTAGGAGGACTTGACCTGCGGATTCTGGTCTCTTACTAGTCCCTCAGACCAAGGTGGCTAATTCCAGACTTAGAGCATTTTCTCATCAGGTCCCAAAATTACGGAATTCCCTTCCGCAGTACCTTCGCGTGGAACTGGAGTTGGAGAAATTCAAACGAGACCTAAAAACCTATTGGTTTAACCTAGAACCATAGGAGTTGACCATGGAAATAGGCAATGATTGGGATAGAATTATGTTACTCCAATTATTATGTTGTGATTATAGTTATTTTGATAGTTGTTTTCGTCTTATGGAATGATAATTGTTTACTGTATGTTTTTATCACTGTCATTACGTTCATGGTGTATTTTAACTGTTTTTGACTATTGGAAAGCGCAATATAAATAAGTATTATTATTATTCTGTCTTTTTCTTCTCTCTTAGGACTCCCTGATGCCACTCCACACACCTCTCCTCCGCCCTACAACACCCCTTTGCAGCCACCCCCTCCACCCCAGGATGCCCCCATCCCTGGATACAGTGACCTCCCCCCCACAACTGTGCATTCGGGGACCGCCACCTTGCCCCGACTTGGAGGAGCGGCTACCCTTCCTCGCCCTCCTCCTACATCGGCCACCTTGCCCCGGCCGCCCCGCCACCACTCAGCTACCCTTCCCCGACTTCCCCCGGATCCCTACATGCAGGAAACCCAGTTCAATGGGGGGCCCCAGGGCTATGTAGTGCAGACTCATCCGCCGGTCGGGACTCTACCTCTCGGAGGCTATATGCACCCAGGATACCCTGTCCAGTTGCAGCCCTGCACAGCTTACGTACCGGTCTACCCCGTTGGGGCGGTGAGTGTTTACAGTGGGAAGGCTTCTTCCAGTGAGCATCCATAATGCCTCCTGTGGGTCTGTGAAGGTTTTCTGAGTGGCATAGCAAGTATGCTCAGATTTTAGAGGTAATGAGCAATGATGGTTTCCTGCCATGTGATTTCCTCAGCCGTTGTAAATCTTGAGCCCTATGGGCACACCCCCTTCCCTGTTTTGCTAGAGGAAAAGATCAGAAGTATTTGGTTCCACTTTAAAAACTAACCAACCAACCACTGGACCTCTGAATTTTGGAAATTCTTGTTTGCTTAAACTACTGTTTGAGAGCAAGTCAGGATCAGAAAACAAAATGTGGTCCTCACCTGTTTTCACTAATCATAGGTTAAAGAAACCGTAGTTCCCAGAGTATGGACATCACACGGAACTATGGTTTGTTTGAAAACAGAACTGGATGCTTCTGATCACTTCTTAGGTTAAAAGAGGAAGGGAGGGGGAGCATGTAAGCTTTCACCTAGTGGGAAACTATGGTTAGCCATGGTTGGTTGCTACATGTGAACTAGGCTTATGTGTCCTTAGTGATGTAGACAGATTCCTTTCTCTTTGCAGGCAATTCTTTGGACTTCTGTTTCTGTATAGGGCATTCACTACCCTGTGACAGTGCGGATTTTTTTTCCTGACAGTATCAATAATGGCACACAAGTTTCCCTTTAAAATATCTTGTTCTCCATTACAGTCCTTCCAGGCAAGGAATCCCATTGTCAGAAAGGTGGTGAGGAAATCGTGGGGGGTTTGGCAGGCACTTCTGAATAGTCAGAATATAAATGCAGGTAGCCTAGTTGCATTTCATGCTATTTGACATTTCACTGGTGATAAAATAAAATTTATGTTATTTTATTTCGAAATAAGCTGATCACTTACTCTAGTGCCATTTGTTCATCAACCTGAGCACCAGAGGCCTATTTTCTATTCTTAGTGACAGCAATCCACATTTTTTACTTGCTGTTCTTACTACCATTTGACATGGATAGTAGGAAACAATTTCTTTTTCTTTTAATCACAGCTCAGAAAAGTTACCTTTTTTGAACTACAGATCCCAGAATCCATTAGTCAGCTTGTGCTTCATGGCACAGACTTTGAAAGGCCCAGTTCACCTCCATACCACAATGTGACATTAGAGCAAGACTTTGTGGTGAAGTAGTTTTAAAAATACAGCAAGAGATTGAGCAATTAAAAAAATTCTCTCCTTCCTTGGCACTGAAAAATCTCCTCCCAGCTACCTCACTCAGTCCGGTGATATTCTGGCCCTGGGGCAGCTATGGAATGCTGAAGTTAGTGGATGGCAAGTGGATTCTGGAAGTTATCATTAAAAAAGTAACTTTTCCTTGCGCTTATTTTTACCTTTTTCACTCACGGTCAATTATGTTATGCTTCCTTGTTAATTTGGTACTTGTATATCACATCTTTATTCCATCAGGAATCTCAAGACAGCACACCCCAAGCAGTCTCCCATCCAAGTACAGATGGATCCAGACCTGTTAGCTTCAACAAGGTGGCTGCCCTTGTGCATTTTCAGGCCACATATAGCAAACAGTGGACCAAATCCTCTTACGTACTTATACCAGCGTAGCACAAATAGTGTAACTTTTGGAGGCAAATAAGTGAAGAAATCAGCATGGGGATTATCAGTTTTACTCTGAGTTGCATCACTTAGTGCATGTTGGATAAGTCTACGGAGATTTCTTAACTTGGAGCTGTTTGCATATAAAAGTTACGTCCTTTCTGTAGCTACGCAAGAGGATTTTGGCCTATAGCAAACTGCAGGGAAGATCGTATCGGAACCTTCTCCTCCTGGTGTGCTAGCTGGTAGCACAGCAAGATGGTTTTTACTGAGATAGAAAGTTACTTTGTCTAGCCCTGAACTGTCTGTGCCTTTCTGGCAGTTGCTTCCAGGGGTTTCTGATAAGCTTTCCCGGTCCTTCCTGGTTCCCTGGAGATGCCCGGAAAGGACGTTGTGACCTTTTGGATGCAAAACATTGACTCTGCTCCTGAGCTGTGCCACTCCCCTTGATTTTGAGCAGGGGTGGAAAATCCTTGATGGATCCAGGGACCAAATGTCTGCCTTTGGGGTACTCCAGTGGCCAGATGGACTGCCGAAACATTTATTCCATGAAGGATGCCCACTTCCAATTTTGAAAAATAGTTATCTGTGCATTGATATTAGATGGTGCACAGGCATTTAAAACACTACGGTTTGCCTTCTAGAAAGAGAATCATGTCCCCTGGAGCCTTCCAAGCATGGCAACACTCCAATTATTGTTGTTGTTGTTGTTGTGCTAAGGAATTGGGAAGGGGCCTGGAAGGGCTGGCTGCATTTCTTTCCCATCTTCTAGTTTGAGGAAGCAGTCAAGATGAGATCCCTCACTTGAAGCCCAAACGGAGGCAGCATGTCTTGTACCATCTTCTGCTGAATGTTTCGAACACTTAGCTTGTCTTTGGAATGTCCAGAGCAGTGGTACCCAGATGTTCTTGCACTAAAACTCCCAGAAGCCTTCATCACTAGCTGGGGTAGCCAAGATTTCTGGGAGTTGTAGCCCAAGAACATTTGAGGACCCACGGTTGAGAACCACTGGTCTAGAGGGATATAAAACAGAGGTGTTTTCTCTCTTCTAACTCATGTGTTTTTGTGGACTTGTGTTACCAGCCATACCCTCCGGGCAACCCTCCACCACCACCAGCTATGTCCTCAACACAGATGACCCCAGGCATTGCTATCCTGGAGCCACGGCGCCCGCCACATGACTACCTTCCCATTGCTGTCCTCACCACCATCTGCTGCTTCTGGCCCACAGGCATCATTGCGATAATAAAGGCTGTGCAGGTGAGCAGGAGGGGAAGAGTGGAAGGGTGTCCATGGGTGGATCTTCATCCGAGGAGTGTTGCCCTTGTGTGTTATCCCAGATCGGGTAGGATATAATAGCATGCCTGGATGCAGCGGTGCCTAGTGATTCCACACTATCCTCTCCAGGGCAAAAGGAATAGAAATGCTAGAAGTACAAACGATGGTCAGTATCTTAACAGAGGCCATTAATAAACAGTAACTGGGTGTCAACACAGACGTTCTTCCACCAGCAAACTGATAAACGTGGTATGATAAACAGCCTTTGTTCAAGTCACAGGAGACAAAAGGGAATCTCCTGCTTGGTTCTTGTTTTGCTGGGTTTTTTTACTAGAATCTGTCTTTGCCATTATTTTGTTTGATTTTATTTATTTATTTATTTATTTATTTATTTATTTATTTATTTATTTATTTATTTATTTATTTATTTATTTATTTATTTAGATTTATACCCCGCCCATCTAGACCAAAGGTCTACTCTGATAACAGAGTGCCCTGGAGGATTGACATATTGGGACAACATTCATGGAAGTTGCACTGTGTAGCTGCCTCAGTTTCTTTTTGGGGTTGCCTTGTCAGAGGCTTTTGAAGGTACAAATATTCAGAAGTGGTTTATCGCTTCTTCCTTCTGTGCAGTACTAATTAGTGTCAGCGTCACTGCTGCTGTCTGTGGAAGATCTACTATTGCTGTGGCCCAGTACTTGCCATGAGGAGTTTGTCCGCTCCTCCATTGGAACTATGAATTATCCTCTTGATATGATTCCTGAAGAGGGTCGATGCATCCTACTCTAAGATCTCAGCTTTGACTATTCTGCTGTCGAGACCTTTAACCTTAGAAACATAACCTTGGAGGTATAGGAAAGGCTGGAGGTATAGGAAACCCTGTCCAAAAGTAAGCCTGTAAGTATGGAATCCAAAGTGATAACTTACAGGCAGTTTTTTTTTCTCCAAATATAAACATCAATTTAAAAAAAGTATAAAGATATGGTGCTTTCCAGCAAGCATAATAGCTCAAGATGTGACTTAGAATTATACATTTCATAGCCATTGGGCTTTGAAAACGGATGTCCTTTGTCTTTTCTGTTTCCAGGACCCGGAATGCTATTGGTCCAGAACAGAAAGTTACTTGAAAGTGCTAATTACTCTATTTGCTTACAGGAGAGAAAATAAAGAGACTATGATTATGATTATAGTGAAAGCAAAACAAAACAAAACAAAACAAAACAAAACAAAATGTGGTGGTACCTTAAAATCTAACAAAGAGACTATGATTATGATTATAGTGAAAACAAAACAAAACAAAACAAGACAAAATATGGTGGTACCTTAAAATCTGATTTTTAAATCTTTTTAATGTGAGCTTTTGTGGACAAGCCCACTTCATCAGCAAAAGTTGATACATGGCATCAAAGTATAGATATCAAAACTTTGATACTTTGATGCATACATGGCATCAAAGTATAGATATCAAAATGAATACAGTACTTTGATACTTGGTATTTGCCATGTTATATCTCCTTCTCTTAGGTCTGATGAAGTGGACTTGTCTACGAAAGCTTGCATTAAAAATATAAAAGTTTTTCTTTTATATTTTGTTTTTCTCTCCCCCCCCCCTGAACCTTTAATGGTTGCACAGACTAACACAGGATCCCTTCTACAACTACAACTGATTAGGATGACACATCTTGCTTTTTCATGACTGGGCTTGCAGGTTTTCTGTAAAACATTGACTATATATTAATACAGGATCAATATTCATTGGTTTAATACTGAGCATGCTAATGAGACTGAAGAGATTAGGAAAAACCACTGGGCCACTCAGGTATAATCTAAACCAAATCCCTTATGAATACACAGTGGAAGTAAAGAACAGATTTAAGGAACTAGATTTGGTGGACAGAGTGCCTGAAGAACTTTGGATAGAGGCTCGTAACATTGTCCAGGAGGCAGCAACGAAAACCATCCCAAAGAAAAGGAAATGCAAGAAAGCAAAGTGGCTGTCCAACGAGGCCTTAGAAATAGCAGAGAGGAGAAGGGAAGCAAAATGCAACGGAGATAGGGAAAGTTACAGAAAATGGAATGCAGACTTCCAAAGAATAGCAAGGAGAGACAAGAGGGCCATCTTAAATGAACAATGCAAAGAAATAGAGGAAGATAACAGAAAAGGAAAGACCAGAGAGCTGTTCAGGAAAATTGGAGATATTAGAGGAACATTTTGCGCAAAGATGAACATGATAAAAGACAAAAATGGGAGGGACCTAACAGAAGCAGAAGACGTCAAGAAGAGGTGGCAAGAATACACAGAGGAATTATATCAGAAAGATGTACGTCTACTCTGGGCGGCTTACAATAAAATAGCATAAAAGCAATTAAAAGCAGCAATTTAAGCAACAATAATGATATCGTTCAAGATGGAAAGGTAGCAATCAAAATAGAAAAATAAAAACTGATAAATAAAAATGGAAAAGCAAAGATCAAGTAGTGACAGGAGGGAAGGCCTGCCTAAAGAGCCAGGTCCTAAGTTGGCTCTTAAAAATACCCAGCGAGGGAGCCAGACAAATCTCTGACGCGAGACTGTTCCAGAGTCGAGGAGCTACTGCCGAGAAGGCCCGGTTTGATCATGCTAGGAGTTGAGACTCATGAATGTCTGACCTCCTGATGGCGTTGGTCTTGGTCTTCCCTGACACACTAAAAACCTCTCACTATATTAAGATGCACATCTAGGAAGGGATGGCAATTCCACTTGAGCTTAAAATATGGTGTTGGAGGAAAGCTTTACAGATGTCATGGAGGGCTAGAAAGATAAATAAGTAGGTGTCGTGTCGAATTAAGCCAGAACTCTTATCTAGAAGCAAAAATGGCCAGACTGAGAGGGTGACTAAACAGGTGTTTAGCCTGCTGTTTGGACTGCTGAAGGGATGGGCTGGTTCCCTCCTAAAGATGGTGATCAGATGACAACTTGGCTGGAATGAACCAGCCTACCCTCGGGATGCTCCTGCCCGTATCTTTCTGGCTTCTGTCAGGGGCCTCTACTTTACTGATGCAGGTAAGATCTTTCTGCTTTGATTCATTTGCAGCTCATGCAGTGGCTGGAAACAGACCAAAAATGAGCCTTCCCCTGTCAGCTTGCCAATATTGTGAAGTGGCATAAGAAAGCCACCTTGGACATTAGCAAATTAAATACTTCCTTAGCTCTGTGGAGGGGGCTCAGGAAGTGAATTTTTAAAAAATGCATTAGAACAGTGCAGATGTGTGGCGTCGCTTTAGACATTTGCAGCTCATGCAGTGGCTGGAAACAGACCAAAAATGAGCCTTCCCCTGTCAGCTTGCCAATATTGTGAAGTGGCATAAGAAAGCCACCTTGGACATTAGCAAATTAAATACTTCCTTAGCTCTGTGGAGGGGGCTCAGGAAGTGAATTTTTAAAAAATGCATTAGAACAGTGCAGATGTGTGGCATCACTTTAGAAAAAAATAAAAGACAAATGAAAAGTTTCCTCTGGAAGCGAGAGGAGGCAACAAGGGTTTTTTTTGTTTGCTTTTCTCTTAAAGGCCCGGTTGAGAACCTACCTTTAAGAGAAAAACAAAAATCCGCTTTGTTGCCCCCTTCTGTTTCCTCCAACTTCCAAGGAGTTTTTAATTCACTTTTTTAAAAAGCATATGTGCTGCCCTAATTTGCTAATATCCTGAAGTGGCTCTCTCCTGAAGCCACTGCACAATATTGGCAAATTGACAGTGGGCCGGTGGGAACCAAATAGGCTTGCTTGAGGTCCATACGCCATTTGAGTGAGAGGACCACCCTAAATGAAATACTGAACTTCCTAGTGACCCCACCAAGCCCATGCCAGCCTCCTCTAGCCAATTTGTGTAGCCAAGTCCTGAAGCTGTCATACTTTGAGCACATGACTCACTACAGAAGACAATAATGCTTGGAAAAGTGGAAAGCAGTAGGAAAAGAGAAAACCTGGATTTTAGATGGACTGATTCTATATAAAAAAGGAAGTCACAACCTTGAGTTGGCAAATCTGAACAGGTCTGTTCATGATAGGACCTTTTGGAGGTCCCTAACTTATAGGACCACCATACGTTGAAAGTAACTTGATGGCACTAACAACAGCTGTATCAGAGAATGGGGTTGATATTGTGTCTCGGGGAGGTGCTGTGAGATCTTTCACCAGCTTTCAAGAAAAGCCTGTTTGAGGACTGTGCTGCCCCAAGCACCCTTTCATAATATGGATGCCCAGTAATTTCTATAGACACGGCCACGATCCCTTCCCACATACCCCTCACCTCCCAATTGAGCACTTGGAGATTTGGCCCAGGGCAGGCCTAACTCTAGGGGCATCTGGCAACTTTTTTGCTCACATGGCAGGTTGTCAATCTTTTTGCTTCCTTCTGTGTCCCTCCCACCCCCTTTGCTTTAAAAAAACAACAACAAATGCACCGTTACAAGATGCGGGATACTTGGCTCAGTAATAATACAAGTGAGAAGGATCTTGAAATTCTTGTAGATCAAAAGCTGACTATGAGTCAAGAGTGTGATGTGGCTGCAAAAAAAAGATAAATGCGATTTTAGGATGCCTTAACAGAAGGATAGTCTCCAAATTGTGTGAGGTACTACTGTAGTTCTGCTCTGTCCAGCACTCGTTTGGCCTCATCTAGAGTATTGTGTCCAGTTCTGGACATTGCACTTTAAGAACGATGGCAACAAACTGGAGCAGGTTCAGAGGAGGGCAACAAGGATGATCAGGGAGCTGGAAACCAAGCCCTATGAGGAAAGATGTTTAGCCGTGACAAAAGAAGACTATGGGGATATATGATAGCACTTTTTAAATACAGTGGTGCCCTGCATACTGACGATAATCCGTGCAGCAAAAATCGTCACTATACGGATTCGTCGCTATGCGAAATTAAAAAGCCCATAGGAATGCATTGCAACCCCTTCAATGCGTTCCTATGGGCTTAAAACTTACCTTTTAAGCGAAAATCCTCCATACGGTGGCCATTTTAGCTGCCCAGTAAGCGAGGAATCCGTCCCTGTTTTACCCAGCGGCCATTTTGGAACTGCCGATCAGCTGGGGAAAACATCGTTATGCAAAAATCGGTAAGCAAAACAGCTTACCGATCGTCGCGAAGCGATTTCCCCCCATAGGAAACATAGTTATGCAATCGCAAAAGGGAACACAAAAACATTGTCACTATGCGGATTCGTCGTTAAATGGGGCGCCCATTATGCGAGGCACCACTGTACTTGAAAGGTAGCCATAGAGAGGAGAGGTGGGATCTGTTCTCAGTCATCCCAAACTGCAGAACATGTAACGATGGGCTCAAACTACAGGAAACCAGATTTCAGTTGCATATCAAGAAAAAAAATGCCTAACTGTTAGAGCAGCGTACCAATGGATCCAGTTAACTCGAAAGGTGGTGAGTGCTCCAACTCTGGAGGCATTCAAGGGGAAATTGAACACCCATCTGTCAGATCAGCTTCGATTTGGATTCCTTCCTTGAGCAGGGGGATTGGATTTCATGGCTTCCTAGACCCCTTCTCAATTATTCTAGGATTCTCTTCCAGACATAGAAACGTTGCAGATTTAAAGAATAAGTGGGATGAGGGAAGGAACAACTTGAATGCTTCAGAAACATATGCTGAATACATTCCCTGTTCATGTCTGGCTGTCGCCCGTGCCTCCCACACATGCACATATTTTGTACTCCGGAGTCAATTGCTTCATTTGTTCTGAAAATAATCCAGTGCTTTGAGGTGGCTGGCAGCCATTTTGTCAAACTAGGAGAACATGAGGCCTCTGGGCCTCTTCCTGAGTCCCTTTCTGGCCTATTTGGCCAAATGAGAAAATGGGCATAGAAATAGTATTTGGCAGCTATTAAGAAAAATGCCTACACAGAGCCAGGGAGGATTCAAAGAACTTGGCATGAGGAAGCGTTATTAAGGAGATGTGCTCAGATAATCTTATGGTGGCGAAAGCTACCTCAGAGAACAGTTCTGCACTAAGAAGTCGCTCAAGTACCAGCCATAAACAGACATACTCGGAAGTAAAGCACTGATCACAATGGGACCTATTTCTAGATCTAAATGCGTAGGATAGTGCTGTTTATAATCAATCTCTTTTACCAAAAATATTGGAATCTGTACTTCTGCGCTATTGTTTATTCCTTCAGGTCCTCTCTTCGGCAGATATCCTTTCATCCCTTTCTTGTTTTGTTTCTTTTCAATATTAGAGACACGTTGTTTATTAAATACCTTGTTTCCCTGAAAATAAGACCTAACCTGAAAATAAGCCCTAGTATGATTTTTTTCAGGATGCTCGTAACATAAGCCCTACCCCCAAAATAAGCCCTAGTTAAGTGAAAGCCCACCCTCCACCCTTGTGCAGCAACCAGAAGATGACATGACTGCATTTGAATAAATGTCGATTGTTTTACATGAAAAAAGTAAAATATCCCCTGAAAATAAACCCTAATGCGTTTTTTAAGAGCAAAAATAAATATAAGACCCTATCTTATTTTCGGGAAAACATGGAACTCTACATCGGGTAACTCAGATCTGAGACATGGAGGCAGCAGAATCATGGACAGTTCCACTGGTCCTCTCATCAATTTTTCTTTTCCCAAGATTTTTCCATGGGCTGCACTCTGAAATTAATTATAGGTAAAGGTAAAGGCTCCCCTTGACATTTAGTCCAGTCGTGTCCGACTCTAGGGCGCGGTGCTCATCTCCATCTCCAAGCCATAGAGCTAGTGTTTTTCTGTAGACAGTTTCTGTGGTCATGTGGCCAGTGCGACTAGACACAGAACGGCGTTACGTTCCCACCGTGGTGGTCCCTGTTTATCTACTCGCATTTTTACATGCCTTCGAACTGCTAGGTTGGCAGGAGCTGGGACAAGCGACGGGAGGTCACTCCGTCGCGTGGATTCGATCTTAGGATGGCCAGTCTTCTGACCTTGCAGCACAGAGGCTTCTGCATTTTAATCCTCAACGCCACCACGTCCCCCTGAGATTAATTATGCTGCCCCTTTTATTAATTATACAGCAATTAATTATATGGCGATTATTATACTGCTACTTTAGTGCTGGGCACTATTCTGGGCAGGTAACAAATAATGCCATGAAAGAAACAACTGAGGCACAGGAGACAAGAATACAATTATAAAATAATATTTTTTGGGGGGGGGGAATCAGAACAAACTATCATAAATCTCCAGCAGCATTTGTATTTGCATAATGATTATAGGACAACGAGCATGCAGCAAGAAAGAAATCCTCAGAAGCTGCTACCAAAGGCATCAGTGAAGAAACGGGTCTTCAAGAGCTTCTTAAAAGTGGGCAGGGAGGGGGGCCACCAGGAGGAGCAGTGCTTGGAAGGATCAGGTAGTGCAGGTAGATGATCTAGAAAAAAGATGCTGTGACAGCTAATGGGGTCCCAGACCATGGATGGTTTTATAGGTAAGCGCCAAATGTTTGAACCTGACCTGGGACGCCACCAGTATTCGAGCCAAGACTTGGAAGATATGATCAGATTTACTCACACCTGCCACCAGTTTGGTGGCCGCATTCTTGACCTGCTGCAGTCAACTTCAAGGGAAGCCCCACGTAAAGAGTATCACAGTAGTCAGTTCTGGAGAACAACAGCGCATGCACCAATGTCCTCAGGGATCTTTCATCTAGATAGGGTAAAGTTAGGCAATTAGGCTGAGCTGATTAAAGGCTGACCTGCATATGGGTGCAATCAGCGAATCCCAAGAGAGAGAGAGAGAGAGAGCCAGATCCAGGATCACGCCCAGTGGGACATTTCTTGTTTTGGAGGATTTTGTGTTAGAGAGGAACTGCTGCTCCTGAAGGGTTTGGAAGGTTTGGGGCCCCATGCCCATATACATCCCACTATGTGGTTAAAGGTGACCGTTCCTTCTTTCTCCTCCTCAGGTGCGGACTGCGATCGCTCGCGGCGACATTGTCTCGGCAGAAATCGCTTCCCGGGAGGCCCGCAACTTCTCCTTCATCAGCTTGGCCGTGGGCATCGCCGCCATGGTTCTGTGCACTATCCTCACCGTGGTGATCATCATCGCTGCCCAGCATCACGACAACGACTGGGACCCCTAGCGACCAACCCCAGCCTTCTGCCTACTCCTGTCCCCGGACAACTGGAGGCAGCCACCCTCAAAACCCCTGGCAACCATCACTCCCAAAGATGGGTCCCTGGGAACTGTACTCCCCTGCGGGCGTTCCCCGCCGTCTTCTCCCCTGCCAGCAACACGTGAAATGCTTGGCAACAGCGTTCCCTCCCACAGTCCCCGGCTCTTGTTGGCCTCGTTCTTGGCACCTACTCAGCAGATGACTTCCAGAGGATGATAACTCAAGACAGAATGCTGATAAACCCTGGGCTCCTTGAAACATCTTTTCTCTCCTGCCAGTTCTTTCCCAGAAACCCTTCGTTGTCGGTCCTTCCTTTCCAAGGAGTAGGCTCCACATTCTGCATCCATGGCAACAACCATCTTCTTCCTGCTGCCTTTGCATGCATGATGCTGCCTGCAACACACCTCCAGTGTCTTGGTTAAAATGTCCTACCCCCTTTCCTTCAGTAGCCTCTAAGATACCTCCCCCTAGCACTTTACAAATGCTATGGTTCCTCTTCAACTTTTTCTCTCCTCCTGAGTTAGAAACCACCACCACCCTTCAGTGTGGGTGGAGCTACTCAGTATTTAAGGGGAAGAGATGACAGAAGTCTCTCTTCCTCCCCTTATTTTATTTTTCACACCCAAATCCCCACTCCTTTGGCACTATATATTATTGCCTTGCTCTCTTTTCGTTTTCTTCCATTTGAGGTGTGGAAAAGGCACAATTGCTTATCAAACCTGTTGATTCCTAACCCTTCCTTGAATATTTGAGCACCGTTGAAATAACTATGTGAAAGAAGGCCTATACTTCCCCTTACCTGTTCTGAGATGCTCCGTTTTCTATTAACTTTTACCAGGTTTCATTAGGATCTCTTTGAGAAAGAGCACTCTATTCTCTTATTGTTTATGGCACTTCCCTCTCCGTACCCTTCATACCATTTCACACTGTTCTTCCTTTATAAACATTTTCCCCTCGTCTTCCTGCAGTGGGGGAAGGCGAAACTTTATTCAAAGCCTTGTCTTTATTGTAATTCCTTCCTACAATCTTCAAAATGCTTGAAGTAGTTGCCAATATACCTGTATCGCATCTCAATTGCAAAGTAGGGTAGGTTTGGGCAGCCAAGCGCCTTCGTCTCTCCCGACGCTTGGATTGCTTCGCACAGAACTACAAGTACACTCCAGATATATCACTTGAAGGAAAATGGATTGGGGGGGGGGGGGAAAAGAAATATGTATTAAGAGGACTCAATCGTTGACTCTCTTAAAGCAGGAAGACAACTAAAAAAAGTGGTATTTCCAGTCAATGTGTTGTACTGGATCAAAGGTAGAATCTGGGGCAAGGTTACAAGGAAGAAACGCGCAGCCAGTCTGATCTAGACATGATGTGGACAGGACAGACTGCACCAGAACAGACTTAAAGTGGGGCAATCATTACTTTTTCTTAGTGCTTTCCTTAAATACACTCCATAAACAGAGCGAGGGAGATGCAGGGGTTAGAGGACATGGCCCAGGATTTTTCATTCCACTGTGGCCATGACCTTTCATTTTTGATCATCTTTCAGGCTAATGTACATTAAATTGGGAGGATTAAATGGAAGGGCTCTTTGAAGAAAGAAGTGGGCTAGACATGTCATAAAGAGAAAGCCAGTACAGTGCGCCAGGAGAATGAAGGGGAATTTTCTTTCCTGAAGTAATAGTTGTTTGTTTACAGGGAGGTTTTTCTAAGTGTCGCTCATTCAAAAGGGGCAATTCGTTACCTGCGGGGTCTTAAATGGTACAGTACATTTCACTGCCTCTTTCAGTTAATTGCACACATGAAGAGACATTGCACATATATTAATGTGGTAGAACCATGGATTGTATCATTTTAGACAGCAGGAGCCGGGTATTTTTGAATATTTTCTTGAGATACAGAGTTCCCTGCATGCAGTGAACTAGCACAGCAGGAAGAGGTCTACCTAAACCCAACCTGTTTTCTTCCTGTGGTAGTTTGTGGAAGTGCAGGGAATGCATTTGGTGTGTTTTGCTCTGTTTTATACGTTGTGTGTGTGTGTAGGGGGAGACATTCAAAAACATGACTTCCTCTCATCTGTTACCTGAAATGACATATACCACCTCATTCAGTACTGCTTGTAGATTGGCTCCAGTTAGCACCAACCAGAATGCCAGAGGCCAGACATATGCACACTATATATATATATAGTGTGCATATATATATGAATGAGTCTGGTTGGGTATACAGTGGCGCCTCACTAGACGATGATAATCCGTTCCACTGAAATCGCTGTTTAGCGAAATCATCGTCTAGTGAAAAGCATTTCCCTATTGGAATGCATTGAAACCTGTTTAATGCATTCCAATGGGGAAGAATCATCGTTGTCTAGCGAAAATCGGCCATAGGAAAGCCGCTTTGCGAACCGCCAATCAGCTGTTCAAATAGCTGTCTTGCGAAGCTTAGGTCCCGAAAACACCTGTTTTGCAAGCGCGGAGGGAGCTGTCAAAATCGTTGTCTATCGAAAATCGGTTTGCGAAGCAGGGACCAAACATTGTCCAGCGAAATTCCCCCATAGGAATCTCTGTTTTGCGAATCAGTATAGCAATCACAAAAAGTCAATGTCTAGCGGGGTAACTAACTAGGCACCACTGTACTAGGGTAGGCACTCAGAGGTGTTAGGGCAGAACTATTTCTGGTTGTTCTCCTTATTTCCAGTGTCTCCCCCCCAATTCTCAACTTGTATCCAGCCTCATGATTCTGCCGCGTGAAGTCTCCATTCATTTCCCCTTTTTACTTTATTGGACGTTGGACTCGGGTGATTATATTATAATATTGCTGTTTGAAGTGACATGGTTCCGGAATCTCTATGACTTAATAAAGACACTCCGTTGATTATCAAGACCCCTACATGACTGCACTGCTAACTCCATTTCCTCCGCAGCACAGCATCAACGTGTGGGATTCCTTGTACCAGAATTTCTTCCCCTCACTTGGGGACATAACCTGCTCCACTCTTTTGACCACAGCCTGTCTCTTACTTTATCTATTCTTTTGGCCTGATTCCCCTCTCCTTCCTGCGCAGGATCCAGATGGCACAGGAACGATGGTAGAAGCTTCAGCGTTCTGTCTCTTCTGCCCACCTCAAACCTCCTGTTTTCCCAAACAGCGTTTCCTCACCTCCCTTCCCCCCCACACAAAAAAACTCTCTTTCTTTCCCCTTGGTTTACCACCCCCAATCTGATTTTTCTCGCTCTGCAGTCTCTCGGGAGACGGTTGCTTAGAAACAGAAAGAGGGGTATGTATGGATTCCAAGTGACAGCTGGGCATGTGACAGCCCTGGGTAAAGGAGGGGGGGCGGTAGGCAGTCAGGAAAAAAAAAAAAAAGGAAAAACCCACAATAATAACAGCAAGGGAGAACTGCAGGTTTCGGTTGAACCTCCCACTGAATGCCTCTCCCCTACCAGCAATGCGCCAGTTCTCTTCTGCTCCAAGATTTGGTGTCCTCATTGTTTTCATTTTTAAACAAGGTTTTCTCCACATTCAGATGCCACTTCATAGTTATTTATTAAGTAAATGATTTATATCCCACCCAATATCTAGAAGTCTAGATATCTATCTCTAGAATAATCAGGGTATATGTAACAACAACAAGCTATTATAGATCATTGAAAACAGTTCTCCTTCCTCATCCTAACAGGCTGAAGAACCAACATGCATATCTCCCGCTGGAATGCACGACAACTTCATATTTGTTATTTTTGCATGATTTATTTCCAAAATTCTGGTTTCCAAAAGAATGACACCAGATTTAGAGAAAAGAAGGCCATGTGCTCCTTTAGGGCCGAGCAACAGTAGCATTAAGCAGACGAGTGAAAATATGCACAAAAATGTGTGTGGGGGGGAATTAATTCCACCTTTAACCACAGAATAACGTCAAAAAGCTACACCATCCATTAAAGCGGTTTCCATATGGAAGCCCTGTAACCGTCCTCCATCCAGGTTTAGAGATTTCACCGTGACCTCAGGGATCCTGACCAAGATTTTTGACCATAAGGGCTAGGGACATGCCTTTGAAAACACCTACAGTACTTGGGTACAAACTCCATATTAAAGCAAGAAGAAGGGTGATATTTTAAGGATGTTGACTTCCACGCATCTAGATCATTGAAAACAGTTCTCCTTCCTCATCCTAACAGGCTGAAGAACCAACATGCATGACAACTTCATATTTGTTATTTTTGCATGATTTATTTCCAAAATTCTGGTTTCCAAAAGAATGACACCAGATTTAGAGAAAAGAAGGCCATGTGCTCCTTTAGGGCCGAGCAACAGTAGCATTAAGCAGACGAGTGAAAATATGCACAAAAGTGTGGGGGGGAATTAATTCCACCTTTAACCACAGAATAACGTCAAAAAGCTACACCATCCATTAAAGCGGTTTCCATATGGAAGCCCTGTAACCGTCCTCCATCCAGGTTTAGAGATTTCACCGTGACCTCAGGGATCCTGACCAAGATTTTTGACCATAAGGGTTAGGGACATGCCTTTGAAAACACCTACATACAGTACTTGGGTACAAACTCCATATTAAAGCAAGAAGAAGGGTGATATTTTAAGGATGTTGACTTCCACGCATCCTTTCAAAGGAAATTACTCACTTCCATGGTCTAATTCAGGAAGCAACACATGAGTCTTGTGTACATGCCATGGAGACAGAATGGTGCAGAGTGCGCTTAGCACTCCCTTCCCACTGTATATCCTATACAGGTTTCCTCTAACTGCTGAGATTCCACCAAGCACAGTCCATACCTTTGTGAAGGCTTTTATCCAGAATAAAAGTTAGAAACATGCTTATTTTTAAAGAATGGTAAGAAAGCAGAGCCCCTGGGGATGCCAGATTCCATGCTAATACAGTACTGATTTCTGCATTTGTGAAGAAAACCTTATGGCTACAATGAATATATACAGTCATCAGGTTGAATCCAGTGGTTAGTCCCTAATGAATCAAGACGGATTAATAAATATTGACAAATCCCATTAAGGGCGAGTACTAGCTGGTACTAAAGACTGGACTTTATCATTGATTTTATCTTTCCACAATATGAAAGCCAGTGTTGTGTAGTGAATGGTGCTTGATTTTGAGCAAGGAAGCCTGAGTTCAAATCCCCGTTTAGCCAGGAATTCATCAGATGCCCTTTCACCATTTTCTTGCTAGACCACTTACATTTCAACCAAACTGATTCATTCGAAAACTATGTATTTCCTCCCTCTTGCTCCTTGGGCAAAAAGAGCAAAAGGCCAAATCTAACCTACAAACGACAACACGGCTTTGTGGTTCGTTCAAGCGAACATTTTTTGCATGGCTTGGGCCAGTTTGGCGTCCCGAGCCTTGATCCTCTCCATCACCCTGTCCAGCTCTCGGCGGGCAGCTCGGTTCCCTGGCTCCACCTGTAAAACGCCCTTCAGATCTTGAGCCGCCCCTTCCAGGTCATTCATGGCGTCGAAAGCCAAGCCCCGTCGAAACAGCGCCTTGGTGTTGGCCGGCTGAAGCGCCAGCGTCTTGGTACAGTTGGAGGCGGCGTTGGCCGGCTGGTGCAACCTCAGCTGGCAAGCAGCGAGATTGGCATGCAGCTCCGCTTTGATTTGGTCGTAGTCTGGAGGAGGAGCAGCCACCACAAGCAGACGCAAAGCCCGGGCGTAGCGCCGGGCGGCGGCACCAACATCTCCCGCTCGGTACAGCTCACTGCCGCGCTCTTTGTGGCTGATCACCAAAGCCCATTTCTCGCTGGCACTCATCTCCCAGGAGTCCTTGGCTGCCGTGAAGCTCGCCAGCTGGATGGTGATCGTGCCTCCTCCTGTCAATCTTACTTCGGCCCGCTCGCCGGCCAGCATGGTCTCTAAGCAACAGTCCACGACCCCATCCCATTCGGCGTCACCCCCGCCCAGTTCCACCTCGGCCCATTTGTGGGAAGGGTAACTCAAGGGTCCTCCTGGCTCAGCCTCAATGAAGACCTGGCAGAGGGAGCCTTCCTTGGGTTTATCTAAACCCGTGCCAGTCTCCAGAACCAGTTTGATAAATGTGCCATCTGGACAGACCCACGGGATGTTCCCATGGGCCGATCTTGCGTGGTTGGGTGGAGGCAGATTCTCTTTGAGGTCCTCGCTCTCTGCCTTTTTCTCACTTGCAGCCAATGGATCTTGGACATTTCCTTTGCCCCCAGCTGATTTCTGGTCTGCCATCTTGCTTTCCTCCCCTTTTCCTGCAGCTGGTGTCTTTTTTATGGCAGGTTCCATACTTGCCATTCCTTTTCCAGTTCAGACAAGCTTTCCACGCCAGTTGACGGGTTTATGCCTGTATACCAGCAGGGGTGTTCGTGATGAGGAAATGCAACCACGGAAATTGCTAGGAAAAAAATATACATAATGTTGTTGGAAGAATAAGTGACTGCACTCAATTTCCTCTGATGTCCAGCACCCATCCCAGACCCCTCCAAGACCCAAGTTAATTTAATAGTACAGTAATAGATGCCAACCCTCAAAAAATATTTTGAAATGGTCCACTATTGGTTTGCATGAGACTAAACTGTCCCCCAGTTTCAATTCCCCATCTGTAAAATAGAAACAACAGCAGTTTACATCCCACAACAATAGCGAACAACTCTGGTAAGTTATGAGGCCAATTTTGCCTCTACCATTTTGTCAAAATTCAGGGATAACCAGAAAAAGTACTTAGGCTGATGGTTCCCCTCAAGATGTTTTGGACTAAAACTCCAAGAAGCCTTCATCGCTAGCTCTGCTGGCCAGGATTTCTCAGAGCTGTAGTCTCAACTATATTTTAATTTTCACTTCAATTATGTTTGCGTTATTTTATGTTATGCCCACTGTTGTAAACCATCCAGAGTGACCGTCAATCAGATGGGCAGTATAGAAATAAAATAAAATAAAATCTTTGGAGATTCAAGGCAGGAAAGCACTTCGTTAGGTGGAGCAGGTTCTGCTTGCTTTGAATGGGGTTTACTTATTTGTTGGCAAGGAGCTCCTTGTTTTTTAGGATATGCTAACAGTCTGCTGACATATTTTGGATGCATGGATGGTGGGGCACCAAAATGGATCTGGGGATCACATGCAACTTGTAGGCCATGTGCTGCCCACTAAATCATCTAAGATAGGGACAAGGGTTATGATGTGTTTCGTGCATTAAAAAAGGCGAAAGCAAACCACCATTACCAACAAGGCTACACATTTTTGTCCATAAATGTGGCATCAATTACAGTGGTGCCTCGCATTACGACGTTAATTCATTCCAGCGAAATCGCTGTAGAACGAAAACATAATGCGGAAATAAAAAGCCCATTGAAACGCATTAAAACCCGTTCAATGCGTTCCAATGGGCTGGAAACTCACAGTCCAGCGAAGATCCTCCATAGGGCGGCCATTTTCGGTGCCTGTGCAGTGAGGAATCCGTCCCAGAAAACAGCGGGGAGCCATTTTATTTACCCGGCGGCCATTTTGAAACCACCGATCAGCTGTCTGAAAACCATCGTTTTGTGAAGAATCGGTTCCCAAAGTAGGGAACCGATCATCGCAAAGAGAAAAACCCCTATTCAGACCATCGTTTTGCGATCGCAATTGCGATTGCAAAAAGATTGTCATAATGCGGTTTCATTGCAATGCGGGGCAATCGTAAAGCGAGGCACGACTGTAGTTCGAATAAATCCACACACTGTCATGCCTTAAAGCCCTTGAAAGACCTATAAACTGTCCCTTTTTTATATCAACAGTACCAAAACAGGTCTGATGTGTTTCTCAACATTCCGTCGCTGTCATCTGGTTGTAGGCAAGTAGAATGCTGGTGATCTTTTGATGACACCAGAGCAAGTCAACCAATGGTTAAGCGGGGCATGCATTTTACAGCCAGCTTTAGCTCAGTTTTTCTCCTTACAATTACATGCAGCCAGCTAGCTGCCTTCTGCAATAAACTCCACTTCTTTTGTAGCAAAGAAACAAAACACACATGGAAAAAGAATGGCTCCTGAACTCTCTACCATCTACCTCTGACCCCTTCATGTCGTCCATATACATGTACATATATCTTTCCAAAGGAACAGCTGTGAAACAGCACATTTTTATCCATTCTAGAGTTGAGATGCATACTTCATGTTTGTATCCCCTGGATACAAATACAAAGTGCACATACCGTATTTTTCCATGTATAAGACTATACTTTTGTCCAAAATCTTTAGACTAAAAATTGAGGGTCGTCTTATACACGTAAGTAAGCTGAGGAGAGAACAAAAACAAGTGGAGGGGAAAGCAGGGATCAAAGCAATCCTACAGCGCTTTGATCCCTTTCCCCCTACACTTGCTAAGCTCCACTTAGAGTTCTTAATTTTGGATTAGAAAAGTGAGGGGCGTCTTATACATGGGGCGTCTTATACACAGAAATACGGTATTTATTCTAGAGCAGTGGTTCCCAACATCAGATTAGTTCTTGGACTAAAACTCCCAGAAGCCTTCACCAATCGCTGTGCTGGCCAGGATTTCTCTTGTAGACTGTAGAAGCTTCCTAGTATTTCCTTCCCATCCTAAAAAAACAACAACACATACTGCTTTTTCTTTTTTTCCCCACTGCTACAACTCATGTTTTCCTTCTCTTACTCCTCTTGACTGATACACACTCTGAGAGTTTGTATGGACTAGCTATGAGGGCTTAAGAATGTGTTTTGACTTCTGCCTCAGCCACATTCTACGTAGTTCTCCTCTACTGCCTCCCTTTCTCTTTTTAATGTCCACATCAGCAGTTTTCTATCTCAGCAATCCCTGTTCAGTCCTCAAGAGATGCCGGGAAGGATACAGGTAGACAGAAAAAGACCATAAAAGTAAGGAAATCTTCCCTACTCCTTAATGATGAGAGAAGAATTTTCCATTTATAATCATTCCTCTTCCTTGTCTTTTGGAGGAAAGTATGAGGTTAGTATAGCCTACACCAGAAGGAAGGGGACACCTGGCCCACTAGTTGTTGTGGTTGGATTTATTTTAAAAAAATTGCCCCGTCTTTCTCCTAAAACAGGATCCCAGGTGGCTTACATCATTAAAAAAAGGAATATCTGAAAGCCAAAAGCAGTGAAATATTCAAATATTTTAAAAGAATTAAATAAACATTACATGAACGTGTTAGATAAAAGAATTACTAAACAAACTTAAATGCAACAAAAAATAAAAATCATCCCATAAAAAAATAAAACCCTCTCAGACAATTCAGCTACCAAAGAAAAGCCTGCCTGAAGAGAAAGGTCTTTGCTTTTTCTTTTTTTTCTTTTTTTGTAAGTAGGAAAAGATGGAGCCAGCTGGGCTTCCAGTGGGAGGGAGTTCCAGAGTCTGGGAGCAGCAACAGAGAAGGCCCTCTCCTGTTAGGGTACACCTGTGAGGGTGGCAGGACCGAGAGAAAGGCCTCCTTTGCATATCTTGACAGCCTCATAAAGGGAGAGATAGTCTTGAAAAGACAGCAACTCTGACCTGCCAAAACCAAGAAAATCTACAGTATTATGAAGAATGATGGGAATTGTACTTCAACAACATCTGGAGTACCACACCTTCCTCATTCCTGACCTACACAGTAATCCCCCCCTCCAATGCCCATTACAGGATAGACTGGCATGACGTAACATCCTTGTATAATTTTTTGGCGAGCGAGAAAATTCTCCAAAATTCAGTTTGCCAAGAGTCACACTATGCATTATGTGAAATGTAGCATACATTTCAAAGAAGAGCGCATCTGGGGATAGGCTGCAGATGCCCCACTGCCCCATGTTATGCTTTCAGAGAAAACCACAATTACTGTAAATGGGAAGGGTTCACTGCAGGCTTTCAGGGATGTTTTCTGCATGGGTGTGTGAATGGAGATGAAACAGTTAACCATCACCATTCACGGGCAGCTGACACGATCTCCCCCCGCCCAAAATGCCTTCTCCACTGCAGAGCTTGCTTTGCCCCCTGTCTACCCAGGGGCCGTGGGCTATAAAGTTCGCAAGAAGATGGCTCAAGAGCACATGGAAGAGGATCGGTTGGCCTACAAGCTAGGTGCTGTTAAGAGAATGACCGGAAGGTACACAGAAATGACATTTAACATCAGGACGTTAAGTGAGGCCACAATTCAACAAGCAGAATTGTTCCAGGGGTGGGTTTCACGAACCGACTAACTACGGTCCATCATGGCCACATTCTGATTTTTCCAGCAGTGTGCAGCATATTTTGGATCAAAAATGGAGGCCATCTGTGCTGAACTAGGCACCACCAGCAGTTGAGTGGACCCCGAGACACCCATTGTTGCAAACTCCTCTCTCTGCCCAATTGGTTCAGTTTGACCTGGTTTCAGCAGAGGAAGTAGCCTCCATGGTGCTGGCGATCTGTCGGACCCCCCACCTCCTCCTTTGACCCTTTGCCCAGCGTGGCTGATAAAAGCCGCTAAGGAGGCTATGGTGGAATAAGTCATGAATATTGTAAATTTATTTTTTTTAAAGGAGGACATCCCTTCATGCATA